AGTGGTCACCAGTGAAGGCCAATATACCGTACCAGGCCCAGCCTCAAAGGGCAGCTTTGAGTGAGCTTTGAGTGAGCTCCTCTTATGTGCAAAGAACCTGGCATTCATTTTAGAAAAAGCTCTTGATAGTTTATTTTTAAAGCCAGTCTCTTGCAGGCATAGCTTGTAATTTTGGAGTGCTTAGGATTGGCAGTGCCACATCATAACGTGCCACACTCCAGGCCCTCCTACACGCCCACCCACCAACACCACAAATACGGCAAACGCATGAGACGCACCAGAGGTGTGAATATAGCAGCTGTTACACTTTATTTCATTATTTTTATTTTTCCTTCTGATTGAAAAAGAAAAGACAGAGAGAAAAGTTACAAAAGTACTAGAAGGCAACGATATTGGCAGGACATCTCTGTTCCCTGGCTCCCACCTCCTGGGCCCCCTCTGGGGAAAGGCAGCCTGCAGCACCTGTAGGCTGGTAGCAACTTTTCTCCTGGGCCAAGCACCTCTGCAGCTCCCATTTCAGGAGCACTGAGTGAAGCCTGAGAGCACCAGTGAGAGGTGGGGAGCTGTCACTCCAGCCCTCTGCACATGAAACATGCCTCTCAGAAGATGGGTACTGCACTACAGCTGTCCCTTCACTTGAGCGCAGAGGTTTGCTTGAAGGAGGTAACAGTTCCTGTCCTGCACTGGTCAGTTTAATCTGGCAGCAGTTAAAAAGCTAAGGTGTGTCATCAAAATGAGATAAGCAGAGTCTCTACAGGGGTGGGAGGAATCAAGAGAAGAATCGGCCTTGTTTTGGAGGAAGCAAATTCTGCAGGGACTCACAAAGGCTTCACGAGAGGCACCTCAGCAACAAATCAAAGCAGTCCCTATGGGGGCAATGCTGGTGCAGGAGGTGGCACAGCTGTGAAGGTCTTTAGCCAAAGGGTAGGCAGAGTCAGGGCAGCATCAGGACATGCATCCCCTCACTGCCTTGCCCAGCTGCCCTGCCTGCCTGAGTGAGAGGCAGCTGGAGAGGGAGGAGGGCAGGGGCAGCAAATTCAGGTTCCCAGGCCTATAAGGTCTTTAGGCCTTTCCACAAGGGTCTCAGTGAAGGGCCCACAAAGTACCAGATGCAATGCTGGATCACTGTGTGGCCCTGCAACTGGGAGCTGTACTGACATTGGTCGCATCCAAGGAGTGGCATCAAAGACCTCCACACTGGAGCGTATTTAAAAATAAAATTGATTTCTCTTACAGTTGCTCCTCTTGATCCTGACAAGGAATAAACTACTTGCTCTCCCTTGCACCCAGCCAGATACAGGCTCAAGGTGGAGAACGCGTAGAGGAAGAGGTTACTCCCTTCACCAGAAGCTGGCAACAAGGACTGATCAGGTGCAGAAAGGGGAAATACCTTGTTCCTCTGCCTCACCAAGAGAGGTGAGAGCTTCTCCCATTAGCTGCTGCCTTGTAGCACAAGGCATGCATGTATCTCTAAGCCAGAACCCAGTCAAATTCCAGTGGCAACGAGGCCTAGCACGGTCCTAACTGCCTTAGGACTGTATCTACAGAAAGTAAGTGGTCCACGGCATCATCCAAACTTTCCTCCTGTTTCTTCTACCAATAGATGGCTACAAGTCAGAGACCCCCATTCTCCCACTTCATGCTACATCTGGGTATACCTGCTCCAAGAGCCAGCATAACAGGAGCTTGGAAGGCTTGCCCGAGACATTTGATTTGGTTGAGTTTGGTGATGCCCGCTACAGTCAGCATCACTTGCGGGCAGCAGGGTATAGGGACAATGCTACGGACAAATGTTGCATATCCTAGAACAGAGACAGCCTCAATAGAGATGACACCCAAGAACACAGAGTCACCCCTAAGGCCTTCTGTCTGACAGTGCCACGAGAGGACTGAAGGCAAGTGCTGTGCTTCCCTGGATGGCCGAACACAGACCCTTCATCTGCTCGTGCCTCTCATTTCAATCCATTTTTAGATGAGCTCAGTGAGTTGTCAGCACACCAACTGGGACACGCACCTACAGATTTGCCAGTTACCCCCTCCACCTCCGTCTCCCAGTCTTCTACTCAGGAGAGCTTAAAGTGAATGCAATTTTCATAATCTGAAAGAGGCACCTTCCTTGCTTTGCAGGCTGCCTTGTCTAACATCTATCTCCAATCCTGAGATCGTTTCTGAGTAGGACAAAGGTTTTCTCTGTAGTCAACCATTGTAGGCCACTGTAGGCTCCTGGGAAACCAACTGGACTTGCTTTCACAACCTGACTCCTCATCACTGCTACCATGTAGGCCATGACAGCCACTGAACCCCTCACGGATATCTTCAAATACCACACCCACATGTTTGACACTGCCTGTGTGGTTTGTGAACCTGACTGGCTCATTTTGCCCTGAAAAATAAATCTCTCCATTTGCCACCACACAGATGTGGTGATGGTATGAAACCAGGCACTGCTGCAGAGCCATCTGTTTCCTGCTGCCAGAGAGGTTGTACTGCAAAGATGTGCCACTGCCCCCTTCTCCCCCCACCCATCCCCGTGGGCATCACCCCCTCCCCTTCTCCCTGCCAGGCAGGCCGTTGGTTGACAGTTCCTGAGGTTTTTGGAGAAACTCCTTCAGTAGGCACATGACGGTTCTTCCACTGGAGCTATCGGGCTCAGCGGCTTCAAGGTGCTGAGGGAACGGAAGGCAAAGGTGGACGGATCATACACAAAGTGGGGTGGCGGGCGGCCTCCATTGACGCTCTGCAGGGGAATACAAAGAGGGATGAAGTCAGTGCTCACATAAGCTCCCAGCAGTGAAGTTCTTGCTTCAAACTCCTGGAACACCACTCTCCGGTACAGTCACACCTCCTTGAACGTGTGGTCATCCTTTTACTTGCAGCAAATGATACTGCCTCGCTACTACTCTTCTCGAGAAAAGCATGTCACTCCCCTCAAGACGACCAGGACCCACGGCTGCCTGTAGCTGCTCAGGTATGTAAAGCGGGATGAGGATATACAGCGATCCATTTGGAGTCCCAGAGCCAGAACAGCGTAGCTGCCAGAAGGTATCCCATGGAAGAGCTAAATTCACGTTCACTTGGTCTTAGAGTAAGACCTTCTGCACAAAGTAGGGGAACAAACTAGGTCACCTCTGAAGACTCATTCTTAAGTCGTATTTTTCAACGATTGTCTAATATGGATTTAGAAATCACCCTTTCTCAATCTATAAAGTCCCAGACACACTGAAACTCTCCAGAATTTTGGCTCCAGTCTGGGCTTCATCACTGCTTCTTCTCTCATCTTACCTATAGCTTCTCCTCATTTGATTTGATTTTCCCTCTAATGAACTGTATTTTCTACGTAAATTCTCTCACTTCCAATCCACCTACAATCTCTCTGCTCCTTCTACACTAATGCACAACCAGAATTTTCTTCCTGAAATCACTTCACATCCAGAAGCAACTGACTGGCTTTTTGAGGAAGTTCCTCATTGGCAGGCTCCTATGGGTAGGCCTGATTTTCAGGAGCTCTGGAGCTCTTCCAGCTCCTGTGGAAACTAGCCAAAGGGCCAGATGCTTGACACTTTTGGAAATCAGGCCTTCCCTAGGTTTTAGGTCTAGGCTAGAAGGAGACACCCAAGCCAGCCCTCTTTCTCAGGCCTGCCATCCAGGCCTCCTGCAAGGAAATTCCCCTGAATGAGGATGGTTTACAAATACAGGAAAAATAAATGGAGAGAGAATCCCAGAATAGTCCTGGCTGTGAGGTGGTACACACATGTGGAACCTACAATAGCTGATATTATCTGCGGAGCTCTGGGATAACCTCTCACATGTTATAGCCAGCACATTCCCAAAACAGTGAGGAAGGGCTCAGAGATGCTTGGAGCAAAAGATCCTGCCTGAAGGCCTCACAATCTGGTTTGTACCATGATCTCCAAAGATCGCTCTCTTCCTTTCCTCCTACCTTTCCCCAGAGCGTGGTCAGAGCAGATCAAGAGCGAGGCGGCCAGAAATACCCGCGTACCCATGTCGCAACAGGTTAGAAATGCTGTTCTCTGCTAGGCCGCGCTGGGAACTATGGATCCACTGGGGCAGGAATTGCAACGCCAAAGAAGCAATTACACTCCATTACATAGGAAACGTTTTCCGTTTACCTTTTGATGACTTTATTTTCTGTTCTTCCTTTGGCAAATAGAAGCACCAACACGGTGGCTGCTTCGCGAACATGCTCTGGCCAGGAGAGGAGATCCCATTGCTCTCCTGGTCAGCAGAGCATTTTATCATGCTCCTGCACAGACCATCTCAGTGTTCACTCCCCAGAGACAGGTGCAAGCTAGGAAGTGCCACGTGCTGGAGAGTTCAGCAGCTCAGAAACCCACGCAAACGTTCCCCACCCTCATTTTGTTCCCATCTCTGCTGCGAAGGGCTTTCCTATTGTTTTCACGGAGGATGGGAAAAGCCCAGTGAAAGAGGAACTGGACTGCTCTCCCTGTCTAGATGTCTCCCTGCTGCCTCTTCTAGGCCTTTCCTAAGAACATCCCCGGTGCCCCTTGCCCAGTCTGCACGAAGGGACCTCTTCTCAAAGAATTATCAATTCTGCTGTCTCCTTTAAGACAGATAATCATTTTGACACTTCGAGGTCAGATCTAACATATAGCTGCAACCACATATCAGCCTTTTGATGCCACCTGTCTCTACTCTGGTTGGATTTTTAACTTGTCATCACAGGACAGGCAAATACAACTTTTCCCAGCAAGCTGCCCAAACGGTCAGGTTCACCCAGGCATGCCAAATTAGAGAGAACTATGAAAATGTCCAAGCCAGGCCCCAGATGCTGCAGCAGGATCTGGAAGCTTGTATCTCCAGGATCCTGGTCACACTCTGGCCCCACAGAACAGCCTTTTAAAAAGGGCCTCTTTAAAAGCCAGTATGGGTAGTGTATTCCTGCCTACTTGATCCCTCCTCTTCAAATTAAGATGGGCACTTGAAAATGGAAAATGCCAACATGGTGCTTGGCATCAGCTGTGCTTCGAGTTTCGGCCAGCAAATCACGCCCTGCTACATCCCCCTGACACCTTGGCCAGCAGCATAAGAAATGAGAGGCAGATTTAAGGGCCTTTACTCAATAGCCACCTGCTGTGGGGTTATATATGGTGTGTGCTCTGGCAAGCCTCAGAGCTGGAGGGTAACATAGCAACCCCTATTCAAAGCTAAGGGGCAGAATAAATCAGCACATTTGTCCTTCTCCAGAACAGAGAAGGTTCCCTGTCAGTGCCAAGAGAGAAAGGAAACAAAGAACCTGGCAGTCCCGTCCATTTTGAAATGCCAGACGGGATTATGGAAGGCAACTGAATCAGTTGATTTCTGACGGATGGCAGTTGGAAGAAAAGGCTGAGGAAAGAGGGGTCCTGAGGAAGGATGAAAGTCATCCACAAAACTCCAGGCTTAGGGGTAGGAAGGAGCCCTGCAATCACTTTCTGTGCCTTCTGAGGCCAACGTGTGGGGCAGAGCGCCTTCCCAGGACATTGCAAGGGGGAACAGCACAAAACAAAGGCTGAGCTATAGGACAGGAACATGAGAAAACACAGGAGGATGGAAAGATTCATAGGCAGTTGGGCAGCTGCAAGTACTGTTTCACACTGCACCCAATCCTATCTCCTCATTGTG